TTCAATGACTCAAGTGACTCACAGCTCACGCGATTTTTACCTCACGTAAGAATTTCGGCCACTGCCTGCGGTGTTTGTTTGTTCTTAGTTTTGATATAAGAACTGGAACTCACAGAGCAAAGACTGTAGGCCTGTACTTGTCGTAATAATGTTGCAAGCATCGTTTTTCTCATGGATGTTTCGAGAAAGAGGAAAATCGTATTATTCGAACGAAAGGCACAAAACGGACTCGTTCACTTCTTTTGACGACCAGTTTCTGATTATCAGGTGCTTATATTCTTGTTAACAGTGGAGAAGCACTGTGCGTTTACTTGTAGGCTGTGCAACCGGTGCCTTCTGGGTGTAAAAGAGTCTTGGAGTCTGCGGACCGTTCGTCATAATCGCCAAACTGACGACAACTCCTGTGGTCTATTCGTACTTGGAGTGAGTCTCAGACCTTTTCATGATTGTCAGATTTTGCTGTTTACATTTACTTGCGACATTTCTGGTAATTATGCATGTGGGAAACCGCCCCCTAAAAAAGCCTTCACTTAATCAGTCTGATTTGTATCAGTTCACTTCTCTTGTACATTCCATTTTACACACCGCTACTTGACCGTCTCTCGGCGGAATCAGATATATATATATATATATATCTATTTAAAGAAGGCAGGCCTCTCTGCCCAGCCCACTTTCCGCCTCACTGGGCTCTTTGTAGGTCGTCGGCCTCTGATACTGCATCTATTCCACAGGAGGTCTTTCATTTAGCTGGCTGCAGTACGGAAAGAATACCGACAAAGCCAAGGATGACCTGAAGTGCCTTTTTGACTTATTTGCTGTCGCCAGCCTTATTGGTAGCGCCTACATTTTGTAATTCTACTATTTTTTTCGCCGAGCACTAAGTCAAGCACTTTACCAGTGAATTGCAAGTCCACCATTCTAAGGGAATTTTGGTTAATTTGAAAACGATACTTGCTCAATCTCGCTCCATTTTCCATGCTCTTTGTCGATATTTATTACGCATCCTCGCTTGCTGCTACGCGTCTGATTGCGATTGCTCGGGATGAAGCTCTGGTGTGGACAGTGAAGCGCTAATTTTGGGTTACTTATTATTCCAGATCTAAACCAACAGGCTACTGAAGTCGGGATGCGGTGAAAAACTGTTTAGCTTCGTTTTCAGTCACCGAGGGGTCTGGGCTCCAGACCTGAAATTGGGACGCGTCTAATTGATAATGGATATTAAGCCGGTAACTACCGTTCCAGTCTGTCGCATCTACGGCGGCTTTGCTTCTACTGTATGCCTGTTTTTCACACAGGACTTATTGCCCGTGCTTCAATGCCGCCCC